CAAATTCGGCCAAATATAGTTTGGCCGTGACTTTTCAAACGTTACGGCCAGGCAAATTTTTATACGGCCAGATTTGAGGAATCTGGCCGTCAAAAAGGCCAAATGGCAACCCTGGCCTGCACATGTGCTAATTACAGCAACAACAGCCTGGGAATCTAATGACCTGAAGCGCCTCGTATCTGCAAAGAAATGCGTTATGTAAAGAACCGAAAAAAATAAAAATAACAATAAATTTAAAAAAAAAATAAAAAAATACATTGAAACTGGTGCATATATTACAAGGTTAGAGTAGAGTAAATAAACGTATGTTTTTGTCTAGTACGCTTGTGTTTTTTTTTTTTTTTAACATTAGTGGGAGTTTCAGTTGTATAATGTTGTGCGAGAACCGTTGGTGCAGATAGGTTTGGAGGTAGCCAATTAAGTAAACGATGAGCCATGAAGGTCTCAAGACCTCGTTTTTTTTTACAATGTTAACCTACTTGCCTTAGGTTTACGCCTTGAATTGTGTCATGCACTTTATGGTTATATAACCTGTGGAGATTATGGATTGATTTAATGCCTTAAAGATTTTAAGGGAACCTAATCTTATATGCAACAGCACATTATTTATAAATAACATAAATTTCAATAACTATTATTATTATTATTATTATTATTATTAAGTCATATTATCATTATTATTTAAAAAAATTATTCTTATCAATTCCAAATACAGAGGGAAAAACATGTAACGAGAAAAAAATGCAAAGCAGTAAGTATTTAAGGTGTAACAATAGGCCTATGCATAATAGAATAACTCTTGGAATAATTTTATCTGGATCCACATGTACAGTTATTTGTAAATTTTTTTTGTTGAGCAATATAAGAGAAAAATATATTTTTGGCTCACATGCTATGGTTCGCCAGTCTACTTGAGAAAGAGCACGGTTACTGAATCAAGAAATATATAAATTTGAAGATAAGAATAAAATATTAAAAATATGTTATGACAACATTATAAACAATAAAAAAAAAACAACGTCTAACTTTGGTTTTGAATTAGTATTAGGTATATGACTTTATATTTACTACGCACTGAACTTGGCCTATTTCTTGTAGTATGCTATCATTCTTACTTTAATTAGGCATATGTCGTTTTAAAAAAAGCATGCTAAAGTCGTCCTTTTATTCTTCTGAAACGCCTAAATCATTCTTGCCTTAAATTGACGTTTCTGTGGCGCTATGTACGCAGTAAAAATGTGCATACTAGTCTGTCATACTGTTAGCTGGTGCTATATTTTTTTCGATAATGATGCGCCCGCTAGAACCAACAAACTACTGACGTAATCTAAATTCAACCAGAGTCTCATTTTATTGCAACAGTAAATCGTGCTGAAATCAGACGTCTGAATAGAATTGCATTATTTTGACAATAATGCCTAAAGTACTTAATTTCATCTATTATTAACTTGTGTGTTTTTAAGAACTGTTAAACAGAAGAAAAGTTGTTTTTTTTTTATCTTTTGTTTTTTTTAATCTTTTGTGGGGTCATCCCACCTTTATTCATCACAAAGAAAAAACAATTTTTATAAGCAACATTGTGGTTACACAATCATCTATAATGCAATATGGCAATGTAAAAATACTGGAGAAATTTTTGGCATACGTTTTTAAAATGAGTTGTTTAGTTAAAAGTTATTTAAAATATTTGCGGATATGTTTTTCTATCATAAAAACTTGGAAAACTGAGGTGTAACACCATTTGTTCAGATGTTTTAGGATGTTTGCTTTGTAAATGCAAAACGTTCCTAATGAAAACAGATGGTCAATATAAACGTTTCCTGTACCAAGCACAATATTTTTAAAATTTTCAATGGCTTTGGTTCCCTTCACTAGTCTGATTTTATGGTTTTCTTTTTGGATAATTTTAGAACAATCTAGTGTTTTATATTCTCTGTTCTTTGAATCTCCTGAATCATTTTTTTATGTTTTTTTTTTCTTTTACGTTCAGCCTATTTGTAGACCTGCAAAGCCTGTACATTTTTTTTAGTTATTTATTATAACTAGTGTTTTTTGTTTTTTTTGGTGATGTATTTGAAATAAGGTCTTGAAAATAACTGAATGAAATAAAATAAATTATTAGCTATTTCTCTACTAAAATTATTTTTCTCACAGTATCTGCATTCCACAGAATCCGCTGTTGTTAATGCTATCTGGACGCAGGGTTTTCGGAACGCCGCCTTTAGCGGCGTGTGCGAAGCAAAAATCAGAGTCAGAAGTGGAACGTGAAATTTCGATATGGTTTCGAGTCAGATTTGCGAGAAAAACTACCCGTATTTCTCGACTGAGACGTCAGTGGTTGCTGTAATTTGTATGCCAAGGAGATGGTGCTACCCTTAATTCGTATTAAGAGAATTTACGCCCTCAAACCTTGTAGTTATTAATATTTTGGTTATAATAGAACATTTTTATTTTTTGGTGACGTCACACTAACTCACACTATAATGGTCAATGGTCATATATTTATATAGCGCCTTCCACAGAAAACCGTCTCAATGCGCTTACGAAGCCATAAGAAACAAAGACAAAAGAACGCGAAGGGGGGGGGGGAATGCGCACCCCCGATTTTGAGATAGAGTCGCGCCCATCACTACCGTGTACACGCAAGTACCTCGGCGTCAGTTTGCTGGGCTCCAGTAGCTTCCACCAAGAATAAGCCTATGGCTCCCCTACCGTGCACTGCTAAGTTGGCGGCGCTACATCAAGTAAGGAGGTGCGACTTTTCAGGGGACAAAAAAAGACTTAACTACAGAACAACTTAACAACAGAACAACTTAACTACAGAAATTTGACATAGAGATTAACTCATAAATGAGAATTATTAACCATAAGAAAGTAAAAAAAAAAATTGAAGAGATAAGCCTTTAAATTCTTTTTAAATAGAAGGAGTGAAGGTGCGTCACGAAGATCAGCCGGTAATGAATTCCACAGAGAATACCCTGTCGCCGTAGGTCTTGAGATGTGATGCTGGAATGCCTTGTATGTGAGTCGATTGAGGATAGGTGTAAATGTGCTCACGTCTAGATGTTCCGGAGACGAGCCGGGCTGCTGTGTTAAGACATATCTGCAATCTTCTCAACCGACTAGCAGGAACACCACAGAGAACAGCATTACAGTAGTCCAACCGAGATGTAATAAGAGCATGCACGTAAGAAGAAGAGCGTCATTAGTCAGGAGCCTTTTAATGGGCCTGATGTTACGAAGGCGATACGTAACGGACTTGCAGATGTTGGATATGTGTTTCCCCATCAACATATTAGAGTCAAAAACAACTCCAATATTGCGAACTTCTGATGATAGAAAAACATTAGTCGCGGCTCCAATCGCAATGCTATTGATTGGAGGCGGTGTTGAAAGGTACTTGGAATGAATACATAGTACTTCAGTCTTGACGGGATTGAAGCAGAGCATATTTTGTGATAACCAGGTTTGTACATCTCTTAGACA